TCTTATTAAATAAGAAACACAGAGCCAAATGCAGAGTTAAAAGCCCAAGAGGTCAGAGCAGTAGCTGAGAGCCGAGACTTAAAACTTCTTACCCTTCCTGCTGCTGCTGTCCTTCCCCTCAGAAAGAGACCTACTTTCTGTGTATCTGTCTTTTTATTGACTTTATGTTCTGCCTTCTCATTGGTTGTAAACCCAACCACATGACTTCTTTGTCACTGCCTGTCTACACAGACCTCCAGGTCTCTGTGGTTGATACTTGGATTAAAGGCGTGTGTCACCAAGCTGGCTATGTCCTTGAACATACAGACTCTGCCTGCCATGTGCTTGGATTAAGGGCATGTGCTACCACTGCCAGACTTCTGCTAAATGGCTTGCTATTAGCTCTGACCCCCAGGCAACTTTATTTATTAACATACAAATAAAATCACATTTCAGTATAAATAAAATATCACCATATAAGTCTATAAAGCTATAGGACATTTATAAGATATTTTATTATAATGCCTTTATTAATATGTGATTTTGATAAAAAGATAAATAAGAGGCTAAAATTAGGGTCACAGCTGTGGGCATCAAATATTAAACACCAGAGACTAGGGTATTTGTATATTTTGATGCAGCAAGACCTAAGAGACACCATGACCAAGGCAACTTGTAGAAGAAAGTTTATTTCCTGCTTACAGTTTCAGAGGGTATCTTAGTTGTGACTAAGAGGATGTCTTAGTTTCTACTGTTGTGATGAATGACCATGACCAAAATGCAAGTTGGGAGGAAAGGGTTTATTTGGCTCACACTTCAGCATTGCTGTTCATCTCTGAAGGAAGTCAGGACAGGAACTCAAGCAGGGTAGGATCCTGAAGGCAGGAGCTGATGCAATGGCCATGGATGGGTGCTGCTTACTGGCTTGCTTCCCATGGTTTGCTCAGCCCACCTTCTTCTAGAACCCAGGACCAGCAGCCCAGGGATGGCACCATCCACCATGGGCTGGGCCCTCCCCCATTGATCACTAAGTGAGAAAATGCCTCACAACTGGATCTCATAGAGGCATCTCCTCAAAGGAGGCTCCTTCCTCTGATGACTCTAGTTTGTGTCAAGTTGACACACATAACCAGTCAGTACAGAGGATGAGTCCATGACCACTGTGGCGGTGACCATGGCAGCAGGCAGGAGGTCATGGTTCAGGAGCCGTGGCTGAGCGCTTACATCCTTATCCACAAGCACAGACACTGAGGGCTGACTGGGACTGGCGTGGCTTTTGAAACCTCGGAGCTCAGCCTCTGTGACACACCTCTGCTGACAAGGCCACATCTCATAATCCTTCCCACACAACTCAGCTGACAGGGACCAATAATTCAAACATGAGCCTATGGAGGCCATTCTTATTCAAACCACACAGTGAGCCAAGAGCCACATCCAGATAAGGTCCCAGGGCCTAAGACCTCTGTTGTGAGGTACCCACCAGAAAAGACCACTCGGACATGGGTTCAAGCCAACAGAAAGTCTTTACTAGCCAGTGGGCAACTACATTGGGACTTCTGTTGTGAGGTATCCACCAGAAAAGACTACTCAGACACAGGTTCAAGCCAACAGAAAGTCTTTCCTAGCCAGCCAGGGACTTCATCGGGTGTACAGGGCTCAAGTGCAGTCCAAAGCTTTTTTTCAGGGTGAGTTTTTAAGCACAAAACCCACATCATGGGTTGACATACTTCAGTTTAGAAAAACAGTTAGCCAGAAGCAGAACTACAGAAGCCAAAAAAGCAAGGTTAGTAGAACTATGGACTTTGATGGAGTAGGTCTATGTCTTCATTTTGGCAGGTGGTGCTGCCTATGTGCTGGGTTCCATGGCCTGAATGGCACTTCCATCATGGTGTCAGTTGTGCTAAGGTCTGGGGGCTGCTAAGGTCTGGGGGCTTGTTATACTTCAGCTTAGCTTTCTGGTATAGATGCAGCTCAGCTCAGAATAGGGAGGTGGGACCAAGGCTGTGGGGTACTGGAATGAAAGGCATCCAATGAGGACAGTAGAGGGTGCCCTGTTAGGACACAGGGGACTCTTAACTGGTCCCCTAGCCAGAATATATCCTGGGAGCTTCCGCTCAAGACAGGTGGTGGTAGCCCTGCTCTGTGCTTCTGTGAAGCCAGGGACCCCAGGGCAGCTAGGGACCCCAGGGCAGCACCTGTTCCCGTTACCTCCCTGCGCCCAGAGAGTCCAAGAGCTGGGCAGATTGCCCTGGGGCTCCCCTTGATCTCACCTCCTTTGTGGGGGGAGCCACCCCTGTCAGGGGAGGGAAGGGTGGAGACCTGGCTGTTCCTTGGGCCCAGCTGCTTCCTGGTATACTGAATAGGACCCTCTTCTCTGTTTTGGTGGGATCTCCATGCCAGACCCTTCTTATTTGTGCCATGCACTGTGTCTGGGACCTCATGAGGTTGGTGTTACTGGTCTGTGGTTTTGTGTTTTCTCACCTGTTCACAGGCGTGAAGTTTTAGAGTTGAGACACAATTCCTACACTTTAAGATTCGCCCCTTGGCCTGGTGGTGGTGGCACATGCCTTTAATCCTAGCACTCGGGAGAGTTCCAGGCCTCCTGGTCTACAGAGTGAGTTCCAGGACAGCCAGGGCTACACAGAGAAACCTTGTCTTGAAAAACAAAACAAACAAAAAAGATTCACCCCTTGACACCCCCAAAAGACTCCCACAGCCTTGAGCCCTCACCCCACCTCATGCCTGTGGTCCTGCCCCAAGCTCCCAAGAACCTTTCTTGGCCTCTGTCTTGCCTAAGCAAACACTGCAGCAGATGGTGTGAGTGTGTGTGTGTGTGTGTGTGTGTGTGTGTGTGTGTGTGTGTGAAGTCACACATCCCATAAGTTTAACAGTGGAGTCCACTAACGCAGGGGAAGTCAGAGCCACCTACCTGTCCTGCAGGATCTTTTAAGAGATCAGACAGCTTTGGGGTGCATTCCCTTTCCCCCTCCTCTGCTGTCCTGCACTGTGGAGTGTCCAGAGGGGAACACCTGCTGCCCCCACTCTCTAATCAGCCCCTGTGGCCTGCCGTAGCCTCGTGCCTCGGGCATGGGATCATCGCAGAAGGCTTGGTTTCCAGAGTAAGCCCTGCAGAGTAAGGCCTTCCCAGCTCTTCAGGGCAGGCAGTGGCCAGACAGCTAGCCAATCATTGTGAAGGTTTGGAACCCCAGCCGGGGGCGGGGGGTGGGGACACTGTGAGACCATTTGAGTGAAGGAGGCTGGGAGCAGACAGCCTTGGAGCTGAGCCATTGGCTCTGCCCCTGAGGAGGTGGCACCTGTTCTCACATCTGGCTTCTCAGAGAGACCGCACCGGTGTTTTTGTATGGCAGGTGTTCTGTGTGGACGTCAAAGGTGATCAAGGTTATCCCCAAGCTGGAGTGAAGGCATGGGGACCCAGCTGAGGTTGAGATGGTAAGGAAGCAATGAGTTTCCCAGTTGTCGAGGGCAAAAGGGAAATAACTCGGATGTAAGGGCTTGCCCAAGAGGAGGGCGCGTGAGGAAGGAAGTGAGGATGAGGACTCCTGAAGGGTGACTGGATATTGCTCCTGGGACAAAGGTGTCCATCTCAGTCCTGTAACAGGAGCAGATGAAAATCACAAATAGCACAACGAGAGGACACAGCAATTAGAGAAACACACACTGGATGCTACACGCTGATGTCAAACTCCTAAAGGGAGGGAGAGGAGTGGGGGTGTCCTGCTTTAATTCTAAGTGACCTTCAGGTTAGGACAGCTGCGGGCTACGGGAGGGGTGCAGCAGGCACCCTTGGGCCCAGGCTCTGGCTTGTGAGCCTGCTCACCTGCTGCTTGGCTTGTAGGCTGTGTGGCCTTGGTGAAGCGTGCACCCTCTCTGAACCTTGCTCATCCTTAGGTCACAAGCAGAGAAAAGCTCCCGTCAGTGGCGTTCCCGGCCCCCCATCCTTTCCTCTTCTCTACCCTCATTCTTTTTTTTTTTTTTTTTTTTGGTTTTTCGAGACAGGGTTTCTCTGTGTAGCTTTGCGCCTTTCCTGGAGCTCACTTGGTAGCCCAGGCTGGCCTCGAACTCACAGAGATCCGCCTGGCTCTGCCTCCCGAGTGCTGGGATTAAAGGCGTGCGCCACTGACGCCCGGCTCTACCCTCATTCTTAGCCCCTATTGTCCCTAATGGGACAGAGCTAAGGGCAGCTGAAAGACCCACTGAGGTCTTACAGGGTCTTCAGCAGAGCAGAGGTCGCTAACTCCCTGTCCAAGGTGCCGGCTGTGGTGGAGTGTGGAGACACCCCCCCCCCACACACACACCCAGTGTCACCACTGCTATTATGTGCAGAGGACGTGATGCCCCTGCCTGACAATCACAAACTCTGGAGGCGCGGAGTGCCAGGGGAACCTTTCTGTAGGCCAGGGCAGCCTTGGCTGCTGCCTGCCTGCACACCATCAGGAGTGGCCAAGACACTGGCTCACAGGATCCAAACAGGATTGCCCGGCACACCTCCCGCACGGGACCTGGGCGTGTGCATCAGCCCAGCAGCAAGGCTGTGAGCCAGGCAGTAAGCTCAGGGAGCTGAAAGGGTCCCGAGGAACCTTGTGACAGAACCCGTCACTCCAAGGCCTCCACTCTGGAGCATGTGGCATGTGTTCTGTGCCGGAGCACCGTTTCCTCCTGGGGTTCCCCTGCTCTGAGTGTTCTCTTCACCAGCCATAACCTGTCAACCTGCCTGTGGATTGTACAATATGTGGGCACATGTGTCTGGTGTCCTTGACTTTTGCAGTGTTTTCCAGGCTCATCTGTGATGTAGCAGGTGTCCGCACCCTTCATTGTGATGGAAGGTAGCCCTTCTTCCTTCTGTATCCATGGGACTCTGGTTCCAGGCCCCATGGATCCGTCCATAGACAGGGAGTCTCTCACATAAAAAGGAACTGTACAGAATATGGCCCATGCACATCCACCAGGTACTTACCGCCTTTTTAGATTATCGCCAGCAGAGTGCGAGTGTTACAGCTCTGGAGGGAAAGGTATCCTGACTTGTCAGGAAGTCAGGCTATGCCTACAGTTGTGAAGGGAGGTATCCTGGATCCCTACAGCTGTGAGGAGAAAGGTATCCTGACTTGTTGGGAAGTCAGACTATATCTTAAGCTGGGGTGTGGTGGGGGATGGTCTCCCTGCAGGATGTAGAGAGAGAGAGAGAGAGAGAGAGAGAGAGAGAGAGAGAGAGAGAGAGAGAGAGAGCCGTTACAGCTGAGCTCTGCTCAACGCGCCCCCCCAACCCCAATTGAGGGGGCTTCCCAGCAGAGGTACCCACTTCTGCTCGGTTCCCTTAAGGGAACATCCTAGCAGGTATGGTTTCTTCTAGGCCCAAGATGGTACTTCTGCTTCTCTCTGCTAAAGGGGAAACCCCTGCAGAAATGTAGCAATCTCCTCAGGCTATGACAAGTTGTTACTTTTTCTACGCCGCCCCTCTAAGGGAATGAATGTCTCAGCAAAGATTCCTCTGTTCCACATGGGAAAAGAAGATCTTCAACCAAAACTATCTTTCGAGACAGGGTTTCTCTGTGTAGCTTTGGGGCCTGTCCTAGAACTCACTCTGTAGCCCAGGCTGGCTTCGAACTCACAGAGATCTGCCTGCCTCTGCCTCCCGAGTGCTGGGATTAAAGGTGTGCACCACCACCGCCCGGCACATCCAAAACTCTTTTAAGAAAGAGATTTGTTTGGGAAGGAGAGCGGCTGCCTCTGCCAGGGTGGAAAAGGACAGCCCACAACTGAACAGGCAGAGAAAGGGGTTTATATAGGGCTTCTTAGGGGCGGAGCTTCTCTAGAGAGAAGATTTTTCTGCTTAGGCATTGGTTAGTCTTCCTGCTCAGGGACTGGTTGGTTTAGTTGGTCAGGGGCAGAGCTGGCGCTGGTTTCAGAGCCGAACTGTGTTTCTTTCTCTAGCTCTGGTTTCAGAGTCAGGGTGAGCTTCTTTGGCTGGCCCTTTGACCCTACACAGAGAACCACCTGAATGGTTACGCAGTGTAGCGGGTATGTCTCATACCCATGTGGCAAGCCCTGCAGCCGACTCCAGAGAGCATGTCAGCAGCACTGAGGATTTTTATCTGGCCTGTGGTTAACGGAATCCTGGATGGGAAACTGTGGATGCAAGAGACCAAAGCCAGCTCTGATGGGGACGGTGTGTGCTGGCTGGTTTTGTCAACTTGATGTAAGTTAGTCACTTGGGGAGAAGAACCCTCCATGAAGGAACTGCCTAGAGAAGACTGGCCTGTGGACACGTCCGTGAATAACAGTCTTGATTACTAATTGATAAAGAGGGCCCAGCTGGCTGTGGGCGGTACCATTCCCTAGGCAGGTGGCCCTGGGCTTTATAAGAAAGCTACTTGAGCAAGCGGATAAGCAGCCTTCCTCTGTGCTTTCTGCCTCAAGTTCCTACCTTGATTTCTCTTAGTGACTTGGAAGAGTAAGCCAAAGAAATACTTTCCTCTCCCAGTTGCTTTCGGTCAGTGTTTTATCATCACTGCAATGGAAAAGAAAACTGGAGCACCATAGGTCCGGGGGCCCGGGGCCGCTGCGTTCATCTGCTGTAGAATCCTACATGGGCTTTTATCTGGTCGCTGGCTGAACACTCGAGAGTTCTCCCCATGAACGCTGTGTTAGCCATTTGTCTCAGTAGCCTGTCTCTGTGTGCCTGCTGTGTATGGTGTCTGGGGTAAAGCCAGAGCAGGGCTTCCAGTGTGCAGCTAGGCTGCCTGGCTGGCCAGTGAGTTCTTAGCATCTGCCGGTCTCTGTACCACCCCCACCCCTTCCTTCCGCAGTGCTGGGGTTACAGACATTCCTGGCCGTGCTTTTTACATGGGTGCTGGGGATTTGAACTCGGGTCCTCATGCCTGCATAGCCAATGAGCATCCTCTCAGCCCATCTCAGTGTCTTCTGTGTATATCTAGTAGAACACGCAGGGTCACATGCTTACTCTGTCACGAACTGTTTGAGGAAGCAGGCACAGATATTAGCAGGACTCTGGAGCTGTCCTCCCCAGATGCTACTGATGTGTGGTGTGGGGCCAGGCACAGGTTTGTGGGTAGTAGGCTCTCTACTTGGATCTTCTTACGGTACTACCATGCTGTGTGACCTGGGTGAATAAGCTTCCCTCTCTGAGTCTGTGTGTCTCCTGGTCATACCAGGATGTCTGGATGGGTGAGCAAACAGGGTGGTAGTGCCTGAAGCTATTTGATCCTGTACCCGGCTAGAGTGTAAATAAAGCTGAAGAACCAATAGAGGGACATGTCCCCAGAGCCTGTCCCCACCCCTTCCAACAGAGATGATCTTGAAGCCTGCCGCTCAGCTGTGGAGAGGAGAACTTGGGCAAAGTGTGGTGAACGGAAGAGATGTGCCGTGCTCTGCCAAGTGGGGCTCCTCAGCTACACCCCAAAGCACCAGCCTCCTGCTTATGTAGCAGCTAAATTGAATGGGAAGGAGCAGCCTTGGGCCAGTCAGGCTGATGGTGCCCGCCGGAACCTTCCTGGTGCCAAGCCAAATGATTCCTGACCCATCACAGGGTGGCCTTGCTGCCCACGTTCCGGATGAGACCCCTGATTCTCTGAGGCTGCTGTGGGACGCCGGTTAGAGCCAGAATCTGCTTCCCTCTCCCTAGGAGTGGTTTGAGTGGCTGGCATCTGAGTGTGAGGCGGGACTGCACCTGGGGGAGGGTGGAGCCTGTCAAGGAGCAGGGGACACAAGGCTCCAGGTGCACAGGGGGGTAGAAAAGGGAGGGGAGGGGCTTCTGTGGGTGGTGGCTCTACACACACTTTCCTGGCAGATGGAGTCAGGGGCGGAAGGAGGCACAGTTGTGGTCCTGCCTCTCTCATCAGAGGTGGAGCCCTGTCCTCTTCTCCTTCCCATTCTTTCCTGGTCAGAGGGAGACCTGCTGCTCTCCTTGATGGCCGAGGCTTCTGTGACAATCTTTTCCTGCTGACCAGGGGAGAAGCGGAGGGATATGTCCAGAACTGGCCTTCCAAACAGCACTGTAAGGGCAGACTCTTTGTTAGAGTCCCTAACGGAGGGGAGCAGGGAAGGTACATGGTGGCTTCTGCCCTGGGCTCCCGGGAAGCCAGCTCTATGTCCCAGCCTGCTGGTGTGTAGTGGGTAGCCATTCCAGCTTTGATCTGGAAGTTCCAACCCCCACTGAAGCTTCGGTAACGGTCACGCCTACAAGGTGGGGCCAAGGGAGGACCCTGAAGACCCGAGATCCGGATGTGCCGGCACTGTTGGTTCCTGGACCCTGGACACTGGAGGTAGACCGAGCAGAGTTCTCCAGAGAACAACGCCGGACTGCGTTAGACCTTTCCCAGACCCTGTAACCTATCCCTTCACTTGTAAGTTACCCCACAAAATAAACCTCCCTTTTAACTATGTGGAGTGACCTTAATAATTTCACCGATACCGGTGACACTTCTGGTTGCCGGGAGCCTCGGATTTAGGTTGAGGACCCATCTATGGAGGGTGGTAGTGAAGGCCAGCCACCCTTCATAGCCTCCTTTTGGTCACAAGCAGTTGTGTCCCCCAGGGCCTGGATGGAGGCTCTGTGCCTGGCCCTCCTTAGTTGACTTCTGTTAGTACCCTGTGCCGTCAAACTGTGAATCACGCAACCAGGCCCCTGCACTTCCTGTGAGCTGCTACACTTGAGGTAGCCCGGAAGCCACCAAACTCACTTGTTAAGATACCAACACCGAGGCATCGCTTGACTGACAGCTAGGAACACTGAGGCGCAGGGAGAGCTGGCTAGGAGCCACCCTGGCTCTGTACTGCCCACGATGGCATCCCCAACTGTCCTCTTGGGAAAGGGACAGAGACACGACACACATCGTTTCTAACCAGATTTTATTTGGTGGCTGTGGGCCTAGCATGTTGCTGGGGACCTGGGCTCTACCCAAGCCTACTTTGGGTACTACAGGGTCACAGCTCTTACCAGGTAGAGGGCCTTCAAGGAGGAGGGGAGCAGAGAAAGAGGCCTATCCATCCGAGGTGGGTCCTGCTTGGCCTCAGCCGTTAGGAGCCAGGGAGGCCAGAGACAGGCTGGGGCTGGAAGCTGTTGGGTGAAGGCTGGCCTGGGAAGCTATCCCGGCTAACCTTGGCCTCACCAGCACCCAGCAGTACTCTGCCAGGCCAAGTCAGGTGTGGGATACCAGGGGAGGGGCCTCCTCTGTGTCACAGCAGGGGCAAGTACACGTCCTTCTATTAGTATATTGAAAAGACAGCTGTGTACCAAAGTCTCTAGAAAAGGGGTATTGTCCTTTACAAGGGGGGGGGGGCACTAGGCTCCTTAACATGGCCTCAGGAGGAGTCAGTCTCGGCCCGAAGTGCACCAGGCAGCTAGAAGCAGGAGAGAGAGAAATAGTGGTCAGTGGCTGGGCTTATGGGGATCAAGGCCCCTTTCGTGGAGGCTGGGATGGCTGTGCGCAGGAGTGGGTAGCGTGGGTATGGGAGACCTTGGGCAGAGCTCTAGGCCAGGCTTTGCGAACCTATGCTGCTCACTCAGGCCCTGGGTGGGGGGTGGGAGGTCTTAGGTTCTCTCTGGGCAGACATACATCCTAAGCCTCTTGTGTGAGCCCCCACATGTACCCCCTGGCACCTTGGCCTCACCCCGTCTCTGCCCATACACCAAGCCTTGGGTGAGGAGCATGCATCTGGACCAGGATTCCTGGTGGCGAGTAAGCAAAAAGTCCCTGTAGGTCTGGGACCCTTCAAGGTGGCTGGTGCTGCTCAGAGACCTGGGGCACCCCACCCCAGTGGCCATCTTGTCCCTGGCCCTCTACCTGGCACAGAGATCTGGGAGAGTGCCTCGGGCTGGCTCAGAGTGTCCACCTTGACGTGTCGGAAAGCCTTGCACACGGGACTCTGCAGGTGCCTGCAAGCCAAGAGCACGGGTTAGTCCAGGGCTAGGTCATGGAGGAGGGGTGTGGGGAACTTCAGGTGTGGGCCCAGGTCTAGTCCGGCTCTGTCTGGGGGAGGGGCTGTGACCTTGTGAGCATCCACCCAGGAGGGCCTTTGGCTCTAGACTGCCCATGGGAACAAGATCAGACCTCTGGCCCCGACCGTTCCCCTCCTGATTAGCTGCAGCGTCGGAGGAAGGGCTGAATCCTGTGCAGGTGACAGCGCCACAGCCCCCGGGGGCTGAAGCCTGTGTCTGCGAGCCAGCCCTGTGTGCTCACTGCCCCCCTGCAGCACCCACGTCCTCAATCTCACAGCCCTGAGCATTGGCTGCGGGGGGAGGACAGGGGCAAAAGTGACCCCCTCTGTCTGTCCTGTGCTGGTGTTGTGCAGGAACTAGAAACCTCTGTAGTACTGTGTCTCCATGTGGGGAGGTCAGGGAAGTGCCCGGGCTGTGCTCTGAACCAGCGCAGTACCCTGTGGCCAGCCGCAAGGCTCCGGGCAGCTCTACAGACAGCAAGGATCCAGACCCAGCACCTGATGACGCAGGCAGGTGCTGAGTGGTGGTGGCAGGGGCGGAGGGGGGGGGCGCACTTTGGGAAACTGAGTCCTTAGGGCAGAGATTTACATGCATGGTGCCATATGGAGAGCCTGGGCCAGGGTGTGGTCACCCTGCTGCCTCCGGGTGAAAGGCACAAGCTAGCCAGGAAAGGAAGCTTGCCCAGATGGAGACGCCTCTGCAACCAGAAGCCAGGCTCGCCAGGCTCGTCACCGTTCCACCCACCCTCTCCTCTAAAGGTCTTCAGGGTGAGGGAGCGGGAACAGAGAGCCTGCCAGCTCCATCTTACCATGGCCCCCACGCCCTGGCATGGGGTAGGGACAAGGCTGTACCAACCTCTTCCACTCTTCCTCCGTCTCCCAGAACTCATAGATGACAAAGGTGAGGCCGTCTGCCATCCTCACCGCGGCGACGCTGCAGGGAAGTGACATGCACATCTGTGGCTGGCCGTGGCTGTTTGTGCCCACAGATGCACACCACAGTCTCTCAACCTCTGTCTTCCCTATTGATCCTCCAAGGGACAACGTAGTTTAACCCACTCTCAGGCCCTGCAAGCCTTCAGGGGGCAGTCACAAGGCCATCCGGCACAGCACCATGGCCCACAATGACAGCAGGACTTTAGATGATTTAAAACATCTGGTTTTGGGGGTTGGGGCAATGGCTCAGTCGGCACATGACTGTGAAAACCTAAGTTCAACCCCCAAAATCCGTGTGAAAAAGCTCAAGATCCTGTCTCAAGAAAACAATGTTAAGACCCGTAAGATGGCTCAGCAGGTAAAGGTGCTTGACACATAGCCCGATGAGCTGAGTTTGGTTCCCAGGGCCGACATAGTGGAGGAGAGGTCCATCTCCTGCATGCCGACCTCTGACTTTGTGCTGGCTGGTTTGTATGGCAGCTTGGCACGAGCTAGAGTCATCTGAAAGGAGGGTGCCTCAGTTGAGAAAATGCCTCCATAAGGTCTGACTGTACGGTGTTTTCTTATTTAGTAATTGATGTGGGAGGCCTGAGCCTACTGGGTGGTGTCATCCCTGGGCAGTGGGTTCTATGAGAAAGCAGGTTGGGAAAGCCCTAGAGAGCAAGCCAGTAAGCAGCACCCTTCCATGGCCTCTGCATCAGCTCCTGCCTCCAGGTTCCTGCCCTGATTGAGTTCCTGTCCTGACTTCCTTTGATGATGAACTGTGATATGAAATGCAAATGAAATAAACCATTTCCTCCCCAAGTTGCTTTTGGTCATGGTGTTTCATCACAGCAACAGACTTCCACAAACACCCCCACTCCCAACCCCTAGTGTACACACACGCACACACACACGCACACACATGCACACACGCATGCACAGAAGCTGGGCACTCACTCAACTCAGGAACAACACCTAAGACTGACCTCTGACCTACAGACACCACACACACACACACACACACACACACACACACACACACACACACGTACATTTACAAACAAAACACCTGCTTTTCAAACCAAAGCACACAGCCTGGGGTATGAAGGACACATAGGATGAAGCCCTGTGCACAGATGTACAGATCCTGTGACGGGGTCCCATCCTTCAGGGGCTGGGGTGGGAGGGGCAACAGAACCAGGAAGGCCCAGGTGAGGATAAGGGGTGCCCGGACCCCAGGGTGACATTCCCCTCCTCTCTCTTAGAACCATGGCAAGGGCTGGGATGTGGCTGGTGAGGTAGCATGTGCCCAGCACCCACAAGAATTTTGGTTCAGCCCCAGCCCAGCAAAGAAAAACCATCTGTAGAGCACCTCACTGAGCCCTGTCCTCACTGGGGACCTCCAGACAGATACCACAGCAGACCCGCAGGCACCAAGAAGCCGACATGACTTCCACAGCCAATGTGATGATGTGTTCTGGTCTCTCTCATGCAATTGGTGAGTTGATCCTTTATCAGGACTGGGAAGGCCAAAGGCCCAGCCATCCCCTGCCTACCCTCTTCCCATCTCCCCTTCCGTCATCAGCCAAAGCAAGGCTCTCCTCCTTATCGGAGTGTGTGGTTTCTCCCTGCAGCCCTCAGCCTGTCTTCACACAGAAGACAGGACCAGCCTGGTTCCTGATGATGCCATCCCAACACACAGCTTCTGGCGCCCCTCCTTAGGCTATCCCCCATCACTCTGTCCAGCCAGACCACCATCACCCTCTCTCCATACTGGCCATGTGCAGACCCCTCACTGGTGGCCACACTCACCTGCTTCACCTTGCTGAGCTACCCAGGGTTGGCAGGCCAGGAGTGGGCGGCGGGGGGTGGGGAGGCTGGCGACCTGCATTCTGGAAGACCTCCCCCCCTCCTGGAGACTCAGCTTCTCCCCTTAATCAAGCCGTTACTGACTGGAGTTAGGCTCTATGTTACATAACAGTGGTCACTCTGGGTGAGTGGAGCATGAGCCAGAATGGCCTCGGCCCGGCACATTATTCTATTTATCTCCCCAACACACTCTCTGCTTGATAGATGAGTAAGCCTAGGCTTGGGGGTGAACTCACCCACCACCACCTCCTACAGCTGGGATGAGGCTGAGCCTCGTTTTCTTAGCTTCCCTGTCATGTGCCTCCCCTAGGGGAGGGCTGGCTCTGCCGGGTCCCCATCCCACTGCCAGCCAGGAGCCCTGGTCACCACCCCCACAAGCTGCACAGAAAGCTTTGCCACTTACTGGAAACAGTTCCTTTCTCCAGCCGTGCCTCGGAGATACTGTCGCAAGGAGTCCAAGAATTCGCTCAGCTGCTCAGGGCACACGGCCATCTCTTGCCGGACCAACTGCAGGTGCT